TCAACATAAAAACTTCTAGTAACGATACAATCATGAAAGATCGTCAAGTCACAAAAGACATGAGAAAAGAACTTCTTGCGCTTAAGGAAGCTACGTCTCCGGGTCCAGAGCAAATACTGGCAAGACTACTGCAAGAGCTCTCTTCTGAACTCTCCAGACCACTTTTGTCTACATTGATAGGGAATTATTTGGGAAAATATCCGGGACCTTTATTTGTCCACATCTACAATATGGAATTAAGGCGTGGCGCTAATAGTGGCAAAAGATTACAAGCTACTGGAAAGAGTCCATAAGAGGGTAAGAAACGTTGTGGAGGGCCTAAAGACCTTAACTTACGAATGCAGACTCGAGAGTCTTAACCTTTATCTTCTAAAGTACAGACAGATCCGAGGTGATCTCATACAGGCATACGGGCTTGTGAGGAATCGGAACTGTCCCTGTACTTTTATGACTTGTTCGCATTCACCACGTCAACTTACCTTCGTGGAACTTCCCTCAAACTCCGAGGAATCATTTTCTATCTGGATATCTGCAGCCATTTGTTCTCACAGCGAGTAGTTGGTGCCTGGAACGCACTGCCCGAGGACGTAATAATGGCGAACACGACCGAAATGTTTGAACATAACCTTGATGTATATTACCTTAACAGACACCATTCACCTACACAAGAAGGCACCGTAAGTTATACCAAATCGATGTTCAGGCAGATGAAGTTAACATGCAGTACTTGACAACTTTATCTACGATTTTTAGAATAAAATTTCAGTGTTATAAAATGTGTGCATGTGAATATATTACTCCCTATTTTATGCTAACATGTTTATTTTATATAGTTTAATTTGAATATTTTTGCATACCATTGTAATGGGGTCTTCATGGGAATCTCCTATAACCCCCAATATACTGAAACAAAAAGGGTGGGCCACGGGGTTTGAACCCGGTCCGACAGATCTACAAAACTATGGGTTAAACACTACTCTATCCAGTAACGACATAGCAAGTCAAAAGTTAAGTTACTTAAGCAAAACCGATAGCCAATTACACATTACATATGGGTATTTTTCATTTCGTTCACATCCCGCTAGGCGGGCAAAAGGCTTAGTAGCTCTCAAGGGCGTAGCGTATGAAGATAAAGGTTCTGCTGCATGTTTAGCCCTCCTACATAAAGTCTTACATCCAGAAGCTGAGATTAATAAAATTAAGCTATTGATCAGTCCAGATATCCGTCAAACAAAGAACAAAAACCCAAGCCACAGAAAATTAAATACGTTCCTTTTCACCAAAATCGGGATCCTTCAGCAACGCGCCAATTATTACATGAGGATCGCGTAACTAAGTTTTCCAGCCATCTGGAGTTTAAAAAATTCCGCTCGTGCATAAACTGTGGAAAACAACACAATTCAGAATGGTGACCGATCTTTAAAGTCGGTTCGAATGCCCTTCTTCGAAGAGAACATCGACAGCAACGGTTCATGGTCGGTTAACAGCGTGAAATGACGACCGTACAGTACCCTGTGGAACCTCTTGACGGCAAAGATGATGGCTTGTGTTTCTTTATAAATTTGGTTGTAGTTCGTGATGCGTGCATGATCGCCTTTTTGGACCCGTCAGGAAAAGTGCGCGAAATGACGGCACCAACGCCATGACTGGAGGTATCTGCGGTAACGACGATCAACAGTGTCGAGCCATCGTGCGTGGGCAACAGATGTGAACTCAGTATATACTTAAGCACGACAAAGAAATTTTCACATTCAGAGTACCAGCATCAGAGAACATCTTTCTGCAGCGGACGATTCATCAGGGCTTGTAGGTCATGCAGCGACTGTAGGAAGAGGTTATAGTAGCTGATCAGGCCAAAGAACGATCAAAGTTGTGATAAATCCTTAGGTGCAGACATCCGTTGGATGACAGAATATTTTCGGGGTCTGGATGGCGACAAATGGAGGCCAAGACGAATCCGAGGTACTTGACAGACTCGAGGAACAATTGACACTTGTCGGCCCGGAAGCTATATTCCCGCACGAGTTCACGTACTGCGCACACTCGGTCTTGGAGCTCAGCCGGTGAACGACCTATGATGATATCGGTCAGGTACCAGCCATACCGGAAATACCGGAGAGCATTGCGTTCATTGTTTGCCTGAACAGGGCCGGGGCGATCTTGCCACCAAAAGACAGCTTAGTTTACTGTAATATACAGTGGTGTGTGTTTATCATCAGCAATTCGGGCGACTCTGTACAGACTTTGATCTGCCACTACGCACCAGCCAGATCCAACTTGGCAAAGGAAGTGCCACCATTCAGCGCGATGAACAAATCAGCGGGGACCCGCAGTAGATAGCATTTTGGTGTCAGAGCGGCGTTGAGACTGGTCGAAAAGTCGGCGCAGATACAAACGGAATCATTCGGTTTCTTAACCATAATGGCGGGAGCAGCCCAGATGGAGTTAGACACAGGTGTCAGAACTCCAAGTTCCTCCAGGCGCTTCAGTTCAGCAACGACAAGATGCAAGTCTGCATACGAAATCGGTCTCTTTGGGCGGAAGACTTTTTGACTTCCAGGACAAAGATAAAGCACGGCTTGCGTATGTGTGCAACGACCCAGGTCGTCTTGGAACACTTGAGCAAACCGCTTGGGAATGTCCTTGGCGGGGTCTACAGGTGCAGCAGGAAGCTGCACTTGACTGCAAACAAGGCGGAGCGGAAAATCAACCAGACCAAGTTGTTCAATCCAGTCGAGACAAAGGAGCTTGAGATTGGCTTGGTGATGGGGTAAGTAGTAGTGATGTTAGTGCCGCGGGGGTAACCCCACAATTTCAATTGTCCAAGTAACTGGGCAAGACCACCGCACGCGCTTGTGGCTGTCGAGAAGTCTGTCGTATGGTGGGAATGCCAAGTGTCTGCCAGAAGCTCTCAGAGGTTATGGTAATATTTGGAGCAGTGTCCAGTTGTGGACGAACTGCATGACCATTGAGAAGTAGATTAACGAACTTCCGGCCACCAGCTGCGATAACCTCGAATGTGGACAACAGACTCAGAATTGGTAACAGAAACGTTTCTGCTACGGTTTTCTGTTAATGTCTCTGATGATGAATCCGCGATGGATGTCGAAACGTCAGGCAAATAAAATTATTGTACCAGCGATTGAGTCGTCTTCTTCTCAGACTCCCGAATTGCCGAGAGTCTGAGTTATTGACTTGAATTTGGTTTTAAACAGTGCTTTTCGTTGGAATTAGTGGGGGTGGGCTTGCTTACACATTTGAGGATTGGCAGAACCCAGCATGGTGCCCCATCTGATTAAAGTTCTGAAAACGATGTTGCCAAACTGTGCAATCCAAATGGAAATGCCACGCGCCACTATACTGATACGGGGAGGGCGGGGATTTTGCCTTGGGGATTGTTTGGACCGCATAACCGGATGTGGCTTAGCAGCTGCGACCGCACTGACTGGACAGATAGTAAAAATGCCTTGGGTCATGGCCGAATCATGTTTGAGATTGATCTGTGTTTGATATTTGGCAATGAGTTCTTGGAGGGTGACTGAGCTGTTCTGTTGCATTTGGGACATAAGATGTGTCCAGATATCAGCCTCCTCGGGGGACTGGAGACCGCAGCTGAATATGAGACATTTTAATTGGTCCTCTGTGAAAGAAACGAGCTGAAAACACCCACACACGCGATTGACAGTACCGGCGTGCGTGGTGAAATCGCCGGACTCCCTTTTGCACAGTTGCAGCCACTGAAATTGAGTGTTGAACAGGGATAACTGCTCACCAAAAATATACGACAACGTCTTCGACGCGTCCTTGAATGAAACATCTCGAAGATCCTTGGGTAGAATAATGTGAGCCTGTGAGACATACAAGCATTCAGTAATACTAATAATAATACTAATAAGGTTTATTGGTAAAGCAGCTCTTGAGCACCGTGAAAACCCCTGGAAAACAGGGAAAACCCTAAAAAAATCCCTTCTTCTGCAGTCAGTATTGGTTTTTTTTATATAGTTTTATGCTTAGTCAAAAGTGTGAGAGATAGGGAGATTGTTATAACTGAAAACAGCTTGTCTACAAAGATGCACCAATACCAAAAATTGAAAATTATATTGGTGCAGTATAGGTATTAAAAAATTCAAAATATGAATATTTAAGTTCTAGAAAAAATTTATCATTTATGGATTTTTAATTGATCCTTCAACAGAGGTATATTCGGCTACTGGCGATGTGATTGACGGATTGTGAGTCACCAACAGAACTCAATTGGCCCGTGGATGAGGTGGAGAGCTTCATGGTTAGAGTTTCCATCAGCCTCAGCTGCTGCTGCAACATTATCTTTAAGTCAGCGTACGCGTCCTCCATAGTATATGAGAAAATGCGTCGCCAAATTTTTATGACCAACGCCTGTGCCTTGCAGTTAGCTTGAAAAGGGAGCTAGCCCGACAGTGGTACCCAAGGCCCAGTAGGAGGGAAGCATGAAAACACGAGTGACTACGAGCAAGGTTTATTCACATAAAGCAAGTTAGAGCAAGTATTTCACACACAAAAGCTACGTGTCTTAATGGTGTGAGAAACGTTGGCCAACCAGAATTTAGGAGACATCGTTTGCCAGACAATGGGAGCTGACGAGCTTCTCTGTGTGTTTTGACTCATTGTGGGAATGGACGCATTCCCAACAAAGTCAGAATACGCAGGTGATATACAACTAGCGTTCGCACTCACTTAATCTCTCATTGAACATGTCCATATCCCACCAGGGTGCGTGAGGGGCAGCAGTAAAACTAACTGGACCTGGTGCTCACGAAAACGCTGGACAGCACTGATGAGGCGCAATGTTAAATATCATCATGTCTTAAACACCCTGTGATTATTCAATATTATCGGTACCTGAACAGCCCATTAGAGTTAGAAGAAATATTTGGCGTGGTGACTTCCATCAAACGAAGGCCGCCATCAACAATATTAATTGGAAATCAGCATTTTCCAGTAATAAAGCACAAGATTGGGGAATGGTTCACTGAGTTATTGCATACTCTCCTCAGAAAACACTGCTCGATTTCACGGAGGCTAAACAACAGACCCCATTGACTGAAGAAAGGAGTGAATAAAAAGCGGAGGCTGTGGAGAAAACCTCTCGCTGATGACAATCCTACATCCATAGAGGCACCGAAGATGTGCTTTACAAATAAACCTTATTATTATAAACACATACAAAGCGCAGAGCAACTCCATCAAGTTAATTATCTTGATGACAAGGCAACCTTTTGAAAAACACCTGCTGAAACGTAGATACGTAAAAACAAGCAAACGAAACAGAAACTTTGTTCCCTAACATCTCTGCTCACGATCATTGGTAATATTTTTGGTGGGAAGTTATCTGCACTCATTTTTCAGCAATGTGGGAAGCTTGGACCTAACCTCTAGATGGTTACTACAGAGAACCGTGAGCGATATTAAAGAAGTTTCACTGTTCTTTAAAAACCCATCATAAAATGTAAATACCCCCTAGACATTGTATTTCGGTTCCTATTGTTTCGTCTTCTTGACTATTCTGG